ATTGTACAGTAAGGAAGTTATTTCCCTTAACCAGGAAATTAACGCTCTTAGAATTGACAAGACAGTTGACCCTGAGAGGTCAGCTAAATATCTACAGCGGATCTAAAATATTCATAATTAATTATAACTAGTTATGATTAATTATTCATATTTCCCATGAGCTGATTCGTTACATACATTAGGTATCAGTTGCATCTTTTTACAAAGGTGTGTTTGAACTAAGAATCTGATGTTTCCCTCGGGCAGATCTGCTGAATATGCAAATGGTTCTATAATTTCATTCCTTATTTCTCTTCTCTGTACTGAGTTAAGCTTTAACCCTTTCCTATACCAACTGTATGCGTGTGTGTGTGTGTGTGTGTGTGTGTGTGTGTATGTGTATGTTAGACCAGTTTATGTGTTTATGTAGTATGTTAGACTAGTTTATGTAGTTAATAAAACCTTACTTGTATCACACTTGACGTGGTTCATTGTTTGCTCATAACTGGAGTCACTTAATCATGCAGATTTATGCTACAAGCTTTTGTAGAATTGTACAGTAAGGAAGTTATTTCCCTTAACCAGGAAATTAACGTTCTTAGAATTGACAAGACAGTTGACCCTGAGAGGTCAGCTAAATATCTCTGATTAATTATTCATATTTCCTATTAGCTGATTTGTTACAATCAGCTGCTACTTTTTATTATCCACATACACAGGCTGGGTGTGGGGACCACAAGACCTTCAACAGACTTATGCAACAATGGACAACTTTCATAAAATAAAAATTTTCTTTAAGGAGACGTGTATATGCATAGTCTATAGATATTGCTGGTCAGGAGTAATTCATTCTTAAATAGATAGTCGCCCAAAAATTTATTAATTTTCTATGTATATAATTTATATTTTATTTTATTTTATTTTTATTCACCCTCATGTCTTTTCAAACCTGTGGGACAGGGATTTCCAAACTGCTTTTTGACCAAAAATATTTACTTAAAGGGGTCATATTATGCGATTTAAATTTTTCCTTTCTCTTTGGAGTGTTACAAGCTGTTGGTGCATAAAGAAGATCTGTAAAGTTGCAAAGACTAAAGTCTCAAATCCAAAGAGATATTCTTTATAAAAGTCAACCACGCCTACCTAAAACGGCTCTTTCTAACATGCCCCCACGTCTATGTCACGAAGTGGGAAGATTTGCATAACGCCGCCCAAATGTTCACGCAGCGAAAGAAGGCGTAACTTTTATTCTCGCTGTAGTATTGTTGCTGCCGCCGCCATGTCGTGAAGGTGCTGTGTGTTTCATTGTGAAAGTGAAACTACTTTGTTTGGCCTTCCAAAAGAGGACGATATCCGCTTCGTTATGCCTGGAGCTGATCCGTGCTGGCCGCTGAGGAAATACATCAACTTCGCGCTGAGGATCGCCAGGATCGGCTTTCACAGTGGACGAAGCAGAGTCCAACCCGGGGTCGTCACATGCGGTTGCCGCAAGCCCTCCGGCCGCACCATTATCAAGCCCGCCGGCCTCCACTCCCTCAA